CTCGCAACCCCCCTCCCTTCTAAGAGCAAACCGGCGGATAAGGCGCAGAGGTCCTCGACCAATGCCAAACGAGCACGCCTCGATGAGACGATCTCTCCAAGAGGCGAGCACAAGCGGTAGAAAGTTGAGAGGTCCGCCCAGAACAAAACATACGCCGAGGCAACTAACCCCGAACTCGTGGCGGTTATTACCTCGGCCAAAACAGGATTTATACGGAGCCCCGATGCTGATACCATACAGGAGGCTCTATGTGAGCTCCTCGCTCAAGGAGCTGAGGAATGCGGCGAGGATGACGTCGGCCCACAGTTTCGAGGAAAACCCGTCTACGGCGATGGGGCCTTGAAACTGTGGTGTCACGACAAGGCCACTTTCCAGTGGCTGGAGGACGCCGTTAGCACCATCAGGCTGCCGTCCGGGGAGCCCCTCTTATTGAAAAATGGGGTGGAGGCCCCCCGGAGGGTGGTCTGTGGACTTGTAATCCCAGGCAAATGGGAGGATGCGTGCCGAATCGGTCGCATCCTCAAGAGGCTCACCGTTGGCTTGTTCACAAGCTGAATCAGCAACGTGGGCATACCTTCATGGTAGTGAGCCTCCCCGAACATCTGGTCCCCACTGTGCTGGGGTATGGCCGGCGCTTCACATTTCAGTTGGGCACGGTCTACCTGAGATTCAGGTCGAAAAGGGGCCTCTACACTGACGCGCCTCCAGAGAATATGGCGTCTACAACACAGGACACAGGACGAATAGACGTTTCCCCGGAGTCCTCTACCTCCTCTGGTATTACCAGGGAAGGAAAAGGGCCCTCCCCGACCCCCGACCCTGTGGACACCGACGAATGCCCGGCGGTGTCCATTAGCGACGACGAGTGTGTGTTGGGGATGGGAGACATCCGATTGAGCGAGGACGAGGACGTGGAGCTGCTGTCTGGTGACGGCGGTATCCCCCTCGCTCAATAAACTGCAAGTCGTCCAGAACAACCTCCACCACAGCTAGGTCGCAACGGTTCAGCTCCGGAAGTGGTTGGAGGTAAACAACACAGCCGTGGCGTAAGCTGTTATCTACCACTAACTCAGATAAACCACGAACTTGCGAATCTACTACTCTAATAATTTACATATGCAGCCACTAACAGAATTCTGTTCCAGAGACCTGTGTGCCGTCAAGCTTTTAGCTGACACGGCCACAGGCCTACCTGAAGTGGTGCTCGCCTCTGTCTATATGGCGGAGACTTATGTACCACCACCGCAGGAAATGGAACGGCTAATCAAGTGCTGCGAGCAGAACGGCCAGCACTTCGTCGTGGCTACTGACTCCAATGCCCACCATCTGTTATGGGGCATGGAACTCGCAAATGACAGAGTTAAGAACCTTACAGAATACTTATTCACAACTAACCTTCAAATCCTTAATAAAGGTACTGTACCAACCTTCGTAAATAAAAGATGCAGGACGATTATAGACCTAACCCTAGCATCAGAAGGAGCAGTAAATCTTGTCCAAGACTGGCACAAGTCCGAAGAAGCATCCTTCTCGGACCACAGATGGATAAGATTTAGCTTAGAAACAGCCATCAAAGAACAACAACCGAAACGGAATCCCCGAATAACCGATAAACTAAACGCTTAGTAAACTATACACTGACAAACTACACCAGAGCCTGGGGAACCGGTAGCACCGGGCAGACTGCTGAACACAGCACAGATAGAAACACAGGTTAAAGAACGAACATCAAACATAGTGAACAGCTATAACTCCGCATGCCCACTGAGTGACTCAGCCCCGCGACAAGGCCAACACTGGTGGGGGCCTGAGCTTGAGAGGCTTCGAAGAAGGGTAAGAAGACGTTTCAATAGAGCAATGAACACATGCGCGGATGAGGACTGGGAAAACTACAAGACGGCCAAATCCAAACTAAAAAAGCGAATACGGTTCAGGAGCACCGCGTCATGGCGAGGCTACTGCGGGAACATTTCGTCTTGTGCACAAGCGAACAGAATAAGGAAAATGGTAGGCAACTCAAATTCAACTGAGCTAGGTTCAATACGCAAAATAGACAACACATACACTTCCCCTGCGGAAACGGAGAGAACCCTACTGGAAACACGTTTTCCAGGATGTAGGTTCGTCCAAGACAGGTGCGAAGAAATGAACTATAACACATCGATCCATAACTGGCGATACGCTGAACAAGTAGTAACATATGAAAAGACAAAATGGGCAGTAAACGCCTTTGAACCGTACAAAGCTCCGGGTCAAGATGGAGTATTCTCCGCACTCCTACAACGGGGCGGGGACACACTGGTCCAGCACCTGGTCGACATCTTTCGGGCCTGTCTAGCATTCAGCTATGTGCCCCACAGCTGGCGAGAGGTAAAAGTCATATTTATACCGTAACCAGGAAGAAACGACTACACTGACGCGAAGTCCTTAAGACCAATCAGCCTCACATCGTTCTTTCTGAAAACGTTAGAAAGGCTATGTGACAGAGAACTGAGGGATGGTGCGCTTAAGAACATACCATTACACGGAAACCAACATGCATACAGCCAAGGCAAATCCACTGAATCGGCCCTACAGTAGGATATGCTTTATGACATAGCTACACCGGTAACAGGAAATTATGCCAATACACTCTGCGACATAACACAAGCTGCACTCCGGATTGTCGAAAGATGGTGCGGGGCATACGAACTATCGGTAAACCCGACAAAGACGGAACTAGTAATGTTTACAAACAAAAGACTACTGGGTAACTACCTATTACCCAAACTCTTCAGTACAGAACTACAGTTATCAACCGAAGTCAAGTACCTGGGGGTAATACTAGACAACAAGTTGAACTGGAACAAGCATCTGAACAACAAAATTAAAAAAGCCACTATCACCTTCTGGCAGTGCCATAGAATGGTACCCACTATTCTATGGCAATAATAATGGGGACTTTCACCCAAGATAACACTATGGCTCTACACAGCGGTAACTTATTAGCGCCGTAACTGATCATGGGTCTTAACCCATGATCAGTTACGGCGCTATAGTATGGTGGCCACGAACCAAGCTGACGACCGTAACCGACAAGCTGGACAAATTCCAAAGACTCGCTTGCATGGCGACGACCGGCTGCATGAGGACAACTCCAACTGCGGGCCTCGAAGCGATGCTGGACCTGCGACCCCTCCCATTGTTCATGAGACAGGAAGCGGAGTCAACAGCAGTGCGTCTAAATAGAGCCGGCCTTTGGAAGCACATGAGGACCCCATACACAGAAATCCTCTATAAGACTGTCAATGAGGAAACGCTACTGGAGGCGGCTGTGGATCCCAAAACAATACATCTTTGACAAAAAATACAAGATACAATTGTTTGAAGAACCCAACGAAGGACTGAACCCCAGAGAGGTCCGCGTCTTCACTGATGGATCTAAAACAAATTCAGGAACAGGTACTGGGGTATTTTCAGAAGACCTCAATATCAGGATATCAACACCACTTGGTGACCACAACACAGTATTCCAGGCTGAATGCATGGGCATCAAGTTGGCGGCAGAAGCAATCATAGCGAGAAGAGTTAAGAACCACTCCATTCCAATACTCTCCGACAGTATGTCAATACTACAAGCACTGAATAGCTATGACCTAAACTCAGGGCTCATTTATGGAGGTATGTATACAAAACCACATAACTCTACAGTGGATTAAAGGACACAGCGGCTCACGTGGCAATGATGCAGCAGATGAACTAGCCAGAAAAGGGTCGGAGACGGACGCTGTAGGACCAGAACCCATAGTGTCCCTCCCCTACCAATGGTTCAGAACAACTATACACAAAGGTACAAAATCGTCACATAATAATACATGGACTACCGTTACGGTCTGTAGACAGGTGAGGGAAGCACTCCCAATGCTCAATGCCAGTCTATCTCGAATATTTATTAAACTCAAAAGGCAACAGCTTCGCACTCTAATTGCTGCCCTAATGGGTCATGGTCCATACAATAAACACCTTTTCAATTAAGGTATCACAGACAGCCCTCTATGCAGAGCGTGCATGGAGGGGGAGGAAACGGCTGCGCACATCCTACTACAGTGCTCCGGCATGGCCAACTACAGGGCAAAGTACCTTGGAGTGCCAAGGTCGCTCCCCGAAGTCTTTAGCAAACGGAGGAGGCTGCTGAGATTCCTGGAGGAGCTTGGGTGGCACAAGTACGACCCTGCACCCACCACATGCAAAATAGGCGCCTTGACGTCGAATTGTGGACACCAGCCCGTTACACCAAGTACCAAGATATTGAACAACAAATTCAGATCTATGCTGTGGATAATGAATGGAAAGTCAAGGTTATCAATTGAGAATAAGCTATTGTTGTATAAGTTGGTATTAAAACCGATATGGACATATGCATTTCAGTTGTGGGGATCAGACAGCACTTCTAATGTGGAAATTCTTCAGCGCTTCCAAAATGGTGTACTAAAAACTATAGTCCAATCACCTTGGTTTGTAAGAGCCCAGAAAATACATGACTATTTTGAAATGCCAACTATTAAGCAGTAAAGAAAATCTGGCACGTAAAGAAAATCTTGATTATCACTACATACAAATGTATTGGCAAGTTCTTTGGTTGACGAAAAGCATCTAGGTGGGTTGAGTCGTTTGAAAAAGTCAAGAATACTGGAAAGTTGAATCAGTAAAACACAATCAGCCATTTAATGAATAAAGAAGAAAAGAGCCACAGGATTCTTTATTCCAAACAACATATAACTATAGCTTGGATCTGTTTATGGTTCAAAGACTTTGTTTTTAAAAATACTTTAGCCATTTAAAAAATAAATATAAGACCACCTATATTTTGGAATGTTTAGAAACAAACAGTAAAAAAATAAATTTTATATGCATTGATGACAAACATTCGTACTTTTTAGGTAGAGTAACTCCCTCAAGTCCGATTACCAATAATAATAATATTAAGTAGAGAATGATTAAAAATCTAAACAATATATTACCTGAAAGCAAGTATTGCTCAAACTTATAGCCCCAAGCACAAAATTTATCATCCTGTCTATTTCTAGATATTCTTCTTTGTACTTGTTGTGGTGTTTCCATAGAACATAGATAAATGGCTCCTTCAAATAAGGTACCTACTACACGTACTGGCTCAGCGCCGCCGATTACGCAGCACATAACCGATATTAAAGTTCTCCTATAACTTATGAACATCCAATCAACATCGGGTATGTCCTTTGATAATCTTTTGTTTTGGTCCAGAAGAAACTTCAACAGCAAGTTTATTTTTTCGTCATTATCGTCTGTGGTTCGCTTTACAGCATTATCAATATTGTGATTCAAATTGAACGATATTCTTCCTCTTGGAATGGAATTAAGGAATTTCAACTGAGACAAATTCGAGTGATATTCTCTCGCATGATCGACACTCATGTAACCGACGATGTAAGGCTTACTTAGATGTGGTCGTTGTGACGACTCTTGACTCATAATTATTTATTTATTTAATTGAATTATTATAATTTACGTAACAATACTTATAACTTTTGTTTTATAAATGGAATTCACCTCACTTCACTTTTTATTTTTATGGCTCCATCAATATGAGAACTGATGATTTTGCCAATGTCACAGTTGAAAGAAAAAAAAACGAAACAAAAAAACAAATTCACCTCGTGAAAACAAAAACACAATTTGGCAATTTTGACATTGACAGCTTAGCGCAGTTTTTTTTGTAGGGTGGTGAGCCTTTAGAGACCTTAGACTATGGAATTTTTTCCATCTTCTAAGGCTTAGACTATGGAATTTATTTTTTTTCCATCTTGTAAGGCGGTAAGGTTTAACATATTTCTTTTCATATGTGTTTCGTCTTTACGGAACCTTTGTCTGCCATTTATCTGCTGTACGGACGAGGAATATGACAATTTAGTAGCAGAAGAGCTCCTTGTGAATGAGTTCGTCCAGAAAAGTACCGCCACCTTACTTATTCTTGCCTAGCAGTAATTTCTGACGAAACTGGAATATGATAGATGTGTACTAAATCATAATGTGAGGATTACCTACTTCGTTTTGGTTTTGAAGGGTCAGGCAGCTAGTGAAATTACAGGCACATGGGACTTTTCAACTTAAGTCTTAGTGACGGGCGCAGTAGCAGTGCCTTTACAGTCCTTAATTGCGTGATGATTTTTTACATTTTGCGTTTAGGAGAAAATTTATTAAAGTATTCGTCATCCTGTTAGGTACCTTAACAGCTACCATCACTGACTGGAAATGTAAATATGACTATTAACTGTAATAAATTTTTAACTGAATCTCAGAATGTTTCACCACCATGACATTCAATTATTTTTTGTGAAATTACTCCACTAGTTTGTTATAATTATTAATACAAAGGTCAAACGGACGTCTCCTCGCAAACCGTGCCTTACTCTATGCCAACTAAGTCACGAAACGAGCCAGCGGACCTCACGAATTTTTCCATGTGTATTTGAATATCAAACACAAAGATCCGACAACAAATCTTTGTATTTGGTTTTCGACGATTTCTTTGCTTTTGTCGAATTAAAAGATTTTTTTTTTATCCAGATGATTTTTCGTGCCACCAAAAACAAACGTTACACAATATTGTCTTATTGTAAGTTTTTAGATTTCGTATCATTGCCCGCAATGAGTTTAAATAAAAGGTTGTTTTCTTGATTAGTAAGCATGCGAATAATAGCTTGCAAGCAACAAGTTTTACTCATATAAACGAGTAAAACTTGTTGTCTTCTGAAGTGCTTCTGACAGACTGCCAGTTAGATCTTTCAGGATAGTCTAAGAGTCGTATTCTATAATAATAATAATAATAACGCACACACTCAACATAGCCCCGCACTAGGGAAATCCTGTGTCGCGGGTGCCATGGACAAACACATATACAGCCACAAATTACATCCAAAATCACGAGAGAACCTGGGACCTCTGTGTTAGCAGTCCGGCATGGTAATCATTCGGCCACGGCTACTAAACTGCCAAGTTTAGTTGAGGGTCGCATTTCCAATGCTTGAATTCATACTCAAGTCCTGACTTGACCATTGAATAGAGTTCTCGAATATAACCCTAAGGGGCACATTAAAGACAAGGTTATTGATGAAATAATAAGAGCTTTGTACTAAATTAATTTAATTTGCTTTGAGGTCTTCCTCTATGGCATGATTAATTTCCGTTATGAATTACTACCGATATAATACAATTTTACAGTAAAAATAAATAACACAGTTTCTTTCCTGCTATTTACTTAAAACTAGATTCTTACACAATCAAAAACTCATCAGTCAGCATTGGATTACGTTAATAACTTAATTCTATTGTGTGATGGATCATAAAAATAACATACGTAATATTAACATCTATTATATTCCTTAACAATCACCTAAGTTAATTTGAATGAAATGAAAGGATTTAACGTAATTTACGTAATTTCTTAATAATTAAATTGACAAACTCTCTTAACCTTGTATAACATAGTACTTTTGCATAGACACGACTAAGAAACCATGTATACGGCCATGGAATTTAACAAATTGTTTATACGGGTTCGTTAATACAGGTATATTTAATTTAAGTAAAATAGTATGCATTTTTGTTTAGACGTTTTCACATTTGCACGATTTTTAAAATATTGTTTTGTAAAGGCAACACTACTGTTTACTTTTTTGATCTTGAATTCCATCGCCGAGTATTCATTTTGTGCTTCGACAAAGTACAACAAGGCATTGCCAAAATATATATGTATATAATAACTATGCTAGCTAAAAAGTATCTGCTATTAGGTAAATACTTATACAAATAAAATATACAGGACGTAGGTAAAGAATTAAAAATTAAGACTTCCTTTTACATTCCTTTCATTCTATGACGCCACCGTTATTGATATACGTGTCTTTCGCGATTTGAAAAAGTTGTGCTGACATTTTATCACTGGTTTCTTTCACCATTTTTGTGAAGTATCCTTCTGAGTTACTGAGTAGTTTGTAAGGGTGATCGAACTCAACTAGCCGCCCTGAGTCCATCACCATGACGCGATCTGAATCCATGATGGTGTTTAAGCGATGTGCTACTGTTAGTACAGTGCAGTCTGCGAAGCGTTTTCTTATCGTTTTTTGGATGAACTCGTCGGTTCTGAAAAGTTACAATATAAGGCCTTTAAATTTCCACCTCAAGTACTTAACCAACATTGAATAATTTTAAACGTACACTGAGATGTTTAACAAAATTAACTAGTATTATCACTTTATTTTATGTTTTGCAGGCACCAGATTCGCATTTTAAGGGCAACCGTGGTTGTTACATAATTATATATGGTCGTAAAGTCCTGTGATTTTGTGATGCTATACGAACTGCTCCAGAAATTTTATAGTAAATAGTATACTCTCTGTCTATTTGTAAAGTATACGCTGAAGAAGTCTCTAGACCAATCAACGTTTGAAGTGGATAAGTCTTACGTACTTCGGATCGACATTAGCGGTGGCCTCATCAAGGACAAGAATACGGTTGCCGCGGAGAATGGCTCTGGCAAGGCACACCAGTTGCCGTTGTCCTAAGGAAAAGTTGCTGCCACCTTCCGATACTTTGAAGTCCAACGCCGGAACAGCTGCTTTCAAGTCAGCCTGGAAATTATTTCTTGGTTCTAATTTTTGTACTTCATTTAAATGCTTTCGGCTAGACATTGTTACACTGAGACCGATGTAAAAAGTGTTTGACAAGGTTATTAATCGCTATCTTCAAAAATATAGAGATAAATGAGGAGCTAGATTGTATGTTCAGACATTGTGCAACTATAATAAAAAAAACTCTACAGATTATTATTGATTGAAAAATAAAAAATGAATGATTAATAAATAAAATGAAAGCATTTAGTCAAATTTAAAAATGCTTCAGAAAATTACATTTTCAAATACCAATGACCACTTATTGTTTTGGTTACCCATTTTTTTATACAGAATATATTAAAACATGAGACAACTTACGGCTTCAAGGGCTTGCCAAAGTCGGTCGTCGTCATATTCGTTGAATGGATCTAGGTTGTAGCGAACAGTCGCCGAGAACAGTACCGGCTCTTGTGGGATTATTGATATTTTCGATCGCAGATCCTGTAAACGATATTTTCAAGCTTTCACATAAATGAAAGGTTAGCATTTATATAATTTTTGTCTTGGGATATCACTGTTTGGGACAACAATGTAAGAAAAACACGATATTCAATATTTTAAAACCGGAAAATGTATGATGTTTTTACTACAGTGTGATTGTTTAGTATTTCCACGATAGCAGAAGTTGACAGCTTTAAAGACAGACATAACCGTTTATATTACCTTCTATATTACCTTCTCTGACTGTTGACGGCCATGCCAACCGTCCCTTAGGGCTAGGGTGTATACTCCACTGGAGTTTACACTTAAAATGTTATATTGCTTCATATCAAAAATTAACTGAACTTAACAAACAAAACTAAAATTAAAACTATCTCTTATCAAAATGCGCGATACTGTATCTGCGGCCCGTATACGCGCAGATGACGCACGTTTACGGCGCATATACGCGCGTCGTCCGCGCGTGTAAAATACGCCGTGTGCATAGGCTCTTATTTCGTATTTTTGCGAAATGACTCTTGTCACTCAATTTTTCCCGACGCACCGCACTCATTTTATCCACAAATGAAATCGAAGGCAGTAAACAATATTTATTGGTTCAAGTCATGTTATCTATCCATGCTGCGCTGGTTCACTGTGAGACTTTAAGTAATCATGGCTATAATGAAATGTGAGAATATTCTAACTCTAACTGTTAGTCAAACACACACAACAAATACAGTTTCCATTAGAATTTTGTTTCTCTTGTTATTGTATGTGTTTAACGCTGGCTTACGCTATATTTACCTGTAACGCTAGCTCGGAAGTGTCAACGCCGTCAATGATGACCTCTCCTTCGACTATAGCTAGTCGAAACAGAGAAGAAATAAGAGAAGATTTCCCAGCACCGGTTCGACCCACTATTCCCACCTGAAAATATAGTTTTTGTAGTACATTATCAAGATCCAAAATATTAGTTTTCTTTAACAGATAAAATTATTGGTATTTTGTGATATTTCATAAAAAGCTTACCTTCCATCCACTATTGATGATGAGATTCAAGTTTTTAAGAACAGGCAAATCTTCAGGGGTGTATTTCATGTAGCAGTTACGGAATTCAATAGTTCCTTGCCAGGGCCAATCTTTGGGCGTCTCCTTGGCTGTAACAACGGAATAATTTGTCGCCTACAAAGATAGTTCGTTAAGTGCTATAGAATAGTAATATTGTTTTTGTAATGTGTAGTATAGTGAGTGTGTCATTTAATTTTCCGTGATTTATCATAAAAGTCAATTAGATACATAGGTTGAAGAGCTCCTTGTGAAAGAGTTCGTCCAGGGAAGTACTGCCACCTTACCTATTTCTGCCGCCAAGCGATAATGTGAGCATTACTGCGTTTTGCTTTTGAAGGGTAAGGGTGCTTGTGAAATTACAAGTTCCATGAATTGTCAACTTATGTCTCAGGCTGACAGGCGCAGTGGCGATGCGCCCCAGATCCTCTGGTTGAAACTGCAACTGTTATGGACAGGCTTGTCGCATACCACCAGTCGCACAATTGCGTGTTCCGTCACTTGGTGTCATAAGAAAAAACATAGCTGTGTATGTAGTTTAACAAAGGTAACTAGACTGTACATACCTCCCTTGTCCCACTGTGGTTCCCGCTCAATATGAGTGTATTGCAGGATACGTTCGACGCTGGTCATCTGCGAGATGACCTCAGCGGTTTGGCGGACTCCGAACTGCAGCATACCTGTTAGGATGAGGGTCTGCGAAATTGCAAGGCCTACGTTGCCGGAGAATATTGTTTCTGGTAAAAAAAAGTGAAAAAAAAGTGATTAGAATTTGTAAATTCAAGTTTTGTTTCCAATGAAACGTGCATGATTTGCTGATTTACACAAATACTTTGTTTTTGATTTGTAAACACAATCAAGGGACAACTGGAGTGTGTTTCATAATTTTCTCACAGATGGCGCTACGGCACAAAATTACTTAAAAACCAAAAACGAAGATGAGAGACGAAGAGAAAAATTCGTAATCTCTGCTGGTTGGTTCCGTAACTTAGTTCAGAGCGTCAGGCACGCTATACTGAAGGCACTGGTTCGAATCCAGCCGGACCGAATGAATTTCTTTTAGTGTATAACAAAGTAGTGGAGAAATTTCACAAAAAATAATTGAATATGATAGTAGTAAAATATCGCGATATTCAATAAACTTAATATCTTGGCATTTAATGACTGTGTACTTACTGCTGTCAATAACGAGGAAGGCAACAATGACGATACTCAAATACAGCACGCAAATGAAGTCAAGCCAAAATCCCAGTGTAACTCCGCTGGCAAGGTAGCTACTCCATGTTGAAGTGTGAATATCCTGCGAAATAAAATAGTGCTTTTTAAATGTATTTATGCACTCGCACTGTCCCCGTATTTTACAAGTGAGAATGTAGAGCTACTTATAATAACCAAGGACGCTGCAGATTAGGACGCAAAGTTCATCCAAGTTCACCGGTTATCTAGTTAATATATTTTTTTATAATATTAAATGACGGGACGAACAAGTCGTACGCCTGATGGTAAGTTACACGCCTACCCATAACAATTGCAGTGCCGGTCAGAGCTTTAAATCGTAAAGATCTGACGGGCACTGCCATTGCGCCCGTCACCGTGAGACATAAGTTGACAAAGTCCATGTGCTTGTAATTCCACCAGAACCCTCACCCTTCACAAGCGGAACACAGTAACGCTGACATTACTGCTTGGCGGCGGAAATAGATAAGGTGGCAGTAGTACCCTGGATGAACTTTTTCACAAGGATAATCAGTAGCAGTAGAGCTACTGCTATTAATATGTATGCAAGACTAGCACACCAATTGCCTGGTTTCAAACTAGGGAATTCCCTAAACTATGAGAACTAGAGTTCATTTCCCAAATTGGCCCTACCGGGAATCGACGCCGATGTAAGCCGTTAGGCCTACGAGGTCGTCAAGTTAAGATGTAGTTTTAAAAAAGTGCCCGTCACTAAAGAAAATAAGACTTACTAAGACGTTATTTATCAAGAGGCACAAATACAGTAATGCCAAACCCTACTTACGACGTTGGTGTTTTGGAAAGGCAAGTAATTTCTACTGCACATCGTAAAGGAATATTGCTTTGTAATTGTAAACAGATGACATAGTTTCTACTCTCTGGCTTTCTGGAATAGTGACCTATCTCCAAAGCACCGACTTCGACAGAAAGGTATTTTAAAATAAGCCGAGACGTGTCTGCTTTGCAAAGTTGACGAAACGTAGACCACCTCAATGTTGTTTGTTATGTGATTGTTTTAACCAATGAAGAGTTCGATGTCCCATTCACAACAAAATTTCACATTTCGTGAATAAATCTCAGAAATTAGGCAAAAAATAACTATTTTGGATTAGATCCCTCTTGAAAAGCAGTGAACTGTAAGTAGTGGACGTATGCAGGGCGTCTCACGGCTATGCCACTTGGAGGGAAAGTACCCTAAATACCATAAATAAAAAAAATATTAAAAGAAGATTTAATTTTGATTTAAATAATAAATGTTAAATTTTATGTTCTTCCTGTTGTTATTTAGAAGGCAAATTCTATCTATGGTATTTAAGATACTTTCTCTTCATGTGGCATAGCCGTGGAACGCCCGGTATTGTATATAATTTTCAAAACAGCAAATATTTACCTGGAATCTATCGAACTCCTTGATTAACCTCTGTTGTGCTCCGGAGGAGCGTATTGTGCTGATGCCGTTCAGAGTTGCCGACATGTGAGAGAACACGGGACTTTTGGCTGTAAACGTTCATTATTAAGTTTTAATATTTAAATTGGAATTATACAGTAAACATACCAGAAATGGATATATTAATAATTAAATAGGAAGTAGGTCAACCGTGATCATGGGACCTGTAAAGGGCCCGAAACGTTGGTTTGTTTGAAAAAACAAATATACGCGATTTAAATCCGGAAAAATAGTTTCATTTCCTAAGTAGGTATAATTTTTTGCAATAAACACATCAGACATAGCGCAAATAGTGTAGTCAAAGTTCAATGCCGTTGTATTTTCGTAATAAATGTCTGGCCTAGCCAAAATATAGTGTTAAGAATGCCGTCATCGAAAGGATATGTTCTATGTACTCACTTGTGCCTTCCAGTCGTTTTATGCTTTGAGCAGATTTTAAATAGATTTGCAGGATAGTGTAGAACAGCAGCAAGATGATGGTTGTTGGGAGAAGGGTCCACACGAGAGCTGCAGCATTCAGGGCTAGGATGCTGAACATTACGAGGTAGATCTGGATAGATTCCAAAAGGAATCGAGGTAGCAGTTCATCTAGAGCGCCAATGTCCTTTGAGAAACGATTGAGGATACGACCTGTGAACAGATTTCATTTAAATCGACTTCTCTATTCAGTACGTGAAGGAACGCGTGAATAAATGAACAGACGTATTTGAAAGAAATACGTGCTGGATGTGGCTTTCGGGCAAGCGCAATTTAGTTTCTCCGATTGTTTCTGTAATTAAATTAAAACTCAGGAAACTTTAGGCATTTACTTATTGTAGCATTTGGACTAAAGTAAACTAATTGAATTTTAATAGGTATAACCTTGTTCTAACAAAACTTTTGATCGCAGCTCGGTAGATTGATATCTTAGTCGTATTTATGGAATTGAATAATAAACTGATTCGCATGCGTCATGGAGAATATCGTAAATTATCAAGCCATATATTAAATAACTTAAAATGTTAGACGCATCGTCGAAATAAATTTTATCTTTATTACTGTGAGGTAAACGTTTATTAAAAGGAAACGGGAAGGTCAAGTTCGCGAATAAAAATATGATTTGTTATTAATGGGTAGGTAAGTCAATTTTGTTTTAGACATTGTTCTATATAAAGATACACGACTATACTAACATACTTTTCTTGCATTCTAATCATAAGTGATTAAACTATGAGTCCAGTGCAATATATGATATATCGCATTAGATTACAAAATGTAAAAATATCAAAGATATATTTAAAAAAAATGTTTACTTATATCTAGTTCTTAGGTTATCGCGATTGTTACACATAGGATATTTGTTATTTTTTTAAACAAATGTTTTTTACATTTAGAACTAAATTACGCGATTTAGATCTGAAAAATAGTCTCATTTTTTATCTTGATTTGATTTGAGGACTTTTGTGCCAGAGAACATACCATGTCCTATCATTACTCTATTCTGGGTAATTTTCAAGTTAATTTTCTCTACGTAATTTCGGTGGCAATATTTGTAATGAAATATTGTGGAATATTGTCATGAAGTATTATTTAATATTCGAGTGTAGTAACCGGAAATATTATTTAATATTTCATGATAACTTACTCGAATACTTAAAAAATATAAATTGCCACGTAGAGAAAATTTACCTGAAAATTACCCTTCTAATTGTTACACAATAAACAGTAAAAATGACATTTAAAAAATATATTTATTAAAAGTATTAAGTCAACTAATAATGATTTACCATGTCACACAACCTTTTCGTACATTTAAATAAAGGTTCAAACAGAAACCTTTTGAAGAAATTAATGTCAGAGCAGTTCAATTTGAATGTACCTACCATATCATTAATCATCATCATCAACCCATTTATATGTCCCACTGCTGGACATGGGTCTCCTTTCAGACGAGTGTTCAGGCCATAGTCCGTCAAACTAGCCCAATGTGAGTTGGGGACTTCCTTCACACGTTTTTCGAGGGTTGTGAACCTTCAACGTGCAGGTTTCATCACGATGTTTTGCTTCACCGAAAAGCTCATGATAAATTTCAAATTAAATTTCGCACATAAATTCCGAGAAACGCAGAGGTGCGAGTCCGGATTCGAACCCACGACCTTCTGCTTGAGAGGCAGTAGGTCAAACCATTAGGCTACCACGGCTTCATTATTATCATTAATAGTAAAAATTATTAGACCTATCACCTGCCACTCAAAACTCTACCCATATTTTGATCTCAAATTCATATTATAGATTACTTAAAAAAATTACCTGAAGAGTTAGTATCAAAGAACCGCATGACCCCTCGTAACATTGAGTGGAACATGTCGTTGTGGAGGTTCCTCGAAGCAGTCATCGAAACTTTGAAGAACATAAACGCCCTCGCCGTTATGAAGAAAATGCAGCTTACTATTAGTGCTGAGTATACGTAAAGGTACTGAGAGGTGTCCAATGGACCGATGTGTGCGTGTATATCCAAATCTGTAAAGTTTATTCTGAATTAGTTTTTTAAACCAACACTAAACAATATCGGTGTAAATTTTTCCCGTGTGAAGTTTCTCTTCCAACTTTTCTGTCGATATCAATTTTATACGTAAGGTATCCCAAACAGATTTATAAAATCCTTACCCGGCTTAAGGTCGATTCCAGAGAAATAGCTAGCGAAGTCGAAAGTAGAGTTCTTTGGCGTTAAAATCCTGTCGTAATCTATTTTGGTCGTACTGTTGGTCTCTCTTTCTTTCTGTCGTGTGACTTCGTTCGTCCTAAAAACGAGAACGATAGTGATTTATTTTGTAATTTCAAAGAAATATGATGATGATATGGCAATATTTTGGAGCTTTATGTCGATGTTGCAGAAAACTGGGTATTTGGCAAATTGCCACCAACAGCAACCGCAATTTGTAGCAGCTGATTTTAAAACGTTTGCCAAATCGTAAATAATATTTAATGCTATTAGAAAATTGGTACCTTGGTGTCGAATAGACCTATAAAAACGAACTAGATTAAACAACAGCAAGGTTAAATGTGCTATAAGAAAACAGCAGAAGAGCCATAGTATTCCGTATAGAAATGATTAACAATTCGGAGCAATCAAAGGCGCTTTGAAAATCACGGTTTGTTTGGGTATTTGGTGTTATTTATATTTTATAACATCTGTCTGTACATACATACCATTATCTCCAGCTGAACCTATGTAAATACGTTTTTCACTAAAAATAATCAGCAGCCGTCAATAAGGCTTTAATGCTTACCAGAAAGTTACCCAGTAGTCGCAAAACGTCGCTGACAATTGTCCTACGATCAATAGAAATACCATGAAGACGATTCTGGGTGTACGCCCTCCAGCCTTCAGATAGGCGCTATATACGCGCCAGCTCATAGATCCTGACTCTCTTTCCTCCTCTTCCATTTCCTGTGCAGGAACTTCAAAACCGGACATTGATTCCGTCAAGGATGGCCGACGTGTTGTCGAGAGCTGAGTCGATAGGAAACATTTACATGGTGAATAACTTTTACAGTGTACGTGCAGAAAAAACAAAAGTGAGTCCGTGATTCTTAAAAGGTCATCCCGTCCAGTAGTTAGGTTACAATAAACAAATCCATAACAAAATAAGACACGAAAACTATAAATCTGAGAAAGCATGTGTCGATTTCACATTGGATAAAGCCAGTTAGACCTCATTTTTTCTAAGTACTTAAAGAAATTCCGTTGTAAGAAATCTTACGCGAGCTGAAGTTCGCCTCGACATCGGAGGAGGTTTTTCCGCCTCTTTATTGTCGTTCTCGTCGTGAGTCGACGACAGTAGTTTGGCGAAGTCTTTAGCTGAAGTTTGTAGTTCCTCGAAAGTTCCTTTAACTTCTATGGCTCCCTGTAATTAGCAAATTAGTGTGACGTCATAATTGCGTGGAGCAAAGTTGTTTAATCTTTATTTTCAGTCTTTTGTCGCTTGGCGAGGAGCAGGAAACAATAACATCAGATCAATTGTAATAGCAACCAAGGAATATCAGAAAGTGGGCATTGGAACGTAATCCTGTTTAATAGATGGCATCTTTTTTGCACTAACGGGTGCCATTTGTGATGGTTATATTCAATCGTCCTCCACTTTCTGGAGGATTACGGAGGAATCTTTGTCTAGTTGAGAAGTAATCTAGGCTAAATTTATAAAGAAAAATATATAGAACGTATTTACTAACATTATTCATTATGACAATGTAATCAGCCGCCTTCAGGTAATGTAACTGATGCGTCACCAGAACGCGGGTGGTGTGCCGCAGATACCCGTTGATGCACTCGTCGAACAGCTGCCGCCCCACGTGAGCGTCCACTGCTGACAACGGATCATCTAGGAGGTACACGTCTGCCTGTGGAAATAATATTTTAATAAAATTTGTCTTGCAACCTCAACAGTAACCACTTTGAATCAGGGCAGAACAATGACCTCCTTGGCATAACAACGCATTTGCATTTTGGTAACTTTTGAGATATTGGCGCTTAAATATTTCTCTTTGAAAAATGTCAATTAAGCTGAATTGCTTAAATAAAACTGAAACTAAATAAGTTATAGAAAAATAATCGATTATAGGTGGTTGTAGATATCGTTTTGCTAATTCTAATTGCATTATTGACATAACGCAATTGACCTAAAATTGTCGGTTGCGTTGTGTATGATAAGGACGGCCGAACAGCACTCATATTTTAAGGAATTAGTTCCAGAGCAACGACATGCTAGGATTAATCAGCTCAATGCCATTTTATAAAATAAGTTAATTTCTGAGTTGAGAAGATTCTTGTACGGACAGCGGCATACCAGACTACACATTTTTGTTCGAAAATCACCTCCAGTGCAACGGAATAAGATACGTCAATGTGTAGCTTGATGTGCTGGCGTGTTACTAATACTTGGGAAAAGCGAACGAACCTTGGGAAATAAATTTTGTACAGATGAAAAAAAAGAAAATGGTTTAGTAAAAACTTTCATTAAGCTATTTATCTCAACTAACCTGTCTATAAACCGCTCTAGCTAGGTTGATACGCGCTCGCTGGCCTCCTGATAGTGAGGCTCCTCGTTCTCCAACAAGTGTTTGGTCTCCGTGGGGGAACTGTTGGAAGTCTTTCTGTAGCGCACATACTCTCACTACCTGCAATAATTATAAAAAAAATTCCAATAATTTACAATGCTTCTATAAACATTTTTGTCTACTTGACTAATGATGTATAAATTAATGAATCCTTTGTGTAAATCGATCTATCTAAAATTTTACAAAGTGAGACAAATTACTAGAGTTACTGTTGTTATAAGTTTGGAGTGAAACTATTTGAAGATTCAGATTTTAGGGCGACACTGAATTAAATAAATGATAGATACTACATAATTCGAATTTTACCTCTTTATACTTCTTTGAGTTGTAAGGTAGACCAAAGAGAATATTCTGTCTAACTGTCGCCACAAAAAGCCAGGGCTCTTGGCTAGCGTAGGACAAAGGTCCACAGAGCTGCACACGACCGCTTGTTGATCGCAACTCATTAAGGAGGAGCTGCAGTATTGAACTCTGAAACAGTAACCAGTATGATGAAACAATAAAAATGAAAGAGAGTCGATTAGGTAAGTACAAGATTTGACAGAATCCAAATTCACCCACACAATCATTGACTTACAAATAAATGGACGACGGGTCTAATACAAAAACCACGAAATAAATGTCCCAAGTCAACCTATTCAACATTTAAATTGTAATGTCATCGCAGTATCGCGCTGTCAGTAGAACAAATGAAGACTGTCGCGCTCTGTATACGATTTTAGCGCCTTACAAGTGCGGACACTTTTTAGCGCGGACCCGACGTCCATATAATTGTAAGTCAATGCACACAATATAATAATGTTCGACTTCGTTCTTTTCTCAAAATTATCAAACATTTTATTTTAAGAAGTATGGGCGAAATAGATAATCACACAAGACTTTCTACAAAGAAGAAGTTCATAACTTTACGGTATTTATTTTAATGAAAAAAAAAAAAAAAATTGTACATACCTTTCCTGATCCAACAGACCCAATGACAGCGCAAAGTTTGCCTTTAGGCACAGTGAAGTTGATGTTCTTAAGGGTCAGTGGTCCGTCCTCAGTCCAGCGAGCGCAAACATCCTGGATGAGAATACCCACGTCAGGGCTTAGTGTTAGCGCATTTAGAGCTTGGCTGATCAGACCTTTTTCATTGCATTCAAAACCTACGGAGAAGAAAAATCATATTAAATTGAAGAAACCGACAGATTCTTATGTTACAAGCACTTTTACTCATAAACTATTCTGAATAGCTTTACCATATAAATATTTTTGTATTGTGTAGCTGTAACTAACAGTCCTCAGAAATTTGTCATCATGAATGCACGTGTGTAATTCAACGGTTCTTTCGTAGGAATTATGTGGGGACTTACCAGGGTTACAGATGCCTTCTTCATCAATCTTCTTGAAAGTATTCCGACACAAATCGACCTCATCAAGGTTCTTGTTCTTTTTGTTCTCCACACTTTGTACAAGTTTTGCAATATCGACGTCGGCAACGCTTCGGAGATCTTCCCGTTCATCTATTTTGAATAAATTTGGTAAATCATTTTGTTTTAATTAATATAGAAATACAAAACAAAATGTTAAACTTTTTCATAACTTATTATAGAAAATACAAAGTAAGCTAAACTAAAATACAAAAAAATAAATCATCCAAACTTTCTCAAATTAGTAAAAAGCAGGTATCAGAATGGTACCTTGGCGTACATCATTTCACCATGCCTTTGGATACCACGTCGCTATAAGAATTATAACATTTATTATACTATGTTATCATTATTTTAACATTTGTTATTGTTAGTCAACAATCAACACCACAACAAAATAGACTCTGGACAAGACGTATCAAAGACAATACAAGACGGCTCAAAAAGAAAATGACTATATATTATCATACCCAATAACATTAGAGCTTGAATTCGAAGGATAGAAGAATAACACTCCATTAGCTGGGCAAGGCTCATTGGCATCATTATTGCTAAAGAAGCTTGAAGAGTGTTAAACATTTGAGCAATCGGAAAAGCCTGTGAAAACCATGCAATGTATTTATTGTTTTTTATTATAGTATGTAGGAGTTTTGTTACATCTAAAATTATTATCGTTAACCATTCCGAAATTGGTTGTCGTTTGTTTTATCCTGAATAGCCCGGTAGAAGATGATTCCTTAGCTATGTAGATTATGCACTGCTGTATGTATTTTAAAGTCGAAAGAAACAAATCTATATCTGCCTTAGTTTAGGGTGGAAAATGCGAAAACTATCAAATTGCAAACAATTTATCCAGAAGTTTTAGGTTAATTTCGGCGCATGTCCAGAATTTATGCATGTTTAAAACCATTTCACTAAAGTGTTAGAGAACAATTTTTTTTTAATTAGTGGTGAAGCAAATTTTACTGGCATGCAGGAAGATTTTCTATAATTGAATAAAGAGTAGTAGTATTTAAATTTAAATCATACAGTTATGGATAGGTAACGTGCAAGGCATGCATTTTGAGGTTGTGCCTCACGTACCCAGTAGCATGAACGCTTCTAGGCGCCGCACTGAAATCAGTGCTTCAGCCAGGAATGACACAGCGTTCGACATTATGATTGACAGTGTTCCCTGCAGTGTGTTGTAGAATTGCGCCAGAGGGAATACCTGTAAATTTGGTATAGGTAAATGCAGCTATTTTTACTATTGATATCGCATGCGTTCACAAAATGGGTTGTAGTCGAATTGTAAGTAAATTTTGTAGGCGGAATGTGATCCTTCATTGTCACATTTAAAAACGCCTACAAGTTAGTGTACAAAGGCGCAACTACAAACATAGTCACCCTATTAAACAACACTACATCTAAACTATCCTAACAGACTTCGCAATTTTGGTCGTTAGGTAACGAGAATTAAATATTTCAAATTCTTTTAAATGACACTTTGCGCCTTGAAGGGTTTATTAATACGTAAATAGATCTAAAGACTTACAATGTCAGCAGTAACTTGGAAGCCGAAGAGAGAATAAGACAGAAGAGTAATGTAGAGGGTAAGACGCTCGGTGAAAACCATGAAGCTGAGGTATACTCCTCGCAGGTAAGACGCGGAGGTGATGCAGTTTATCTCATTTTTTCTCGCCATCGCAACCACTTGCTCGAAAGGCTTCTCCCATGCATACATTTTGATTACCTGCACATATTTATGGTTAATTTTAATTTTGTGATTTTATGTTAGGTCATATTTAATCACATGTCGTTGGTTAATTTGTTGAGTGATTTATGGATTTTAGAAGATGTGTATTTACGCTTCGTACGAGTAATTTTTTTTCGCTGAGCGATTACTACAATCGAGTTTTTTTCTAGACCAGCTTCTAGTGTTGCTTTTTCTGTGATCAATAGAGTCTCATCGACGGCGAATTTAGGAAAATGAGCTCGCTCAGACAACACCGTTGTCAAAAGTATTAACTACTAAATTTTCATGGATAATATTTAAAACATAAATTAATTCTGTTATGTTACCTGCATGCCATTGATAATTTCGTCCATAATTCGCACTCGTTCGTCAGTTTTAGTAGCTGTTTTCATACGTAACCTTGCCGCCAATTTGCTCATGTATGCTGTAATAAAAAACATCAAATGTAGACTTGGTTGAATTGCCGCTTGCTCTTCGGTTTTTGGATTGTTGTTGGATAAATCCAAAGATGTTGACTGATGATTCAGAATGCCAAGTGTAATGGTAATCGCAAAACCAAGAAATGTGTAAAGGATCCCAGCTACGGCATTTGATAGGATGATGGTTGTAAATATAATAGAACAAACATTATAAGAATTAACTTAATTCTCAAACGTTCGGGGTTGAAAACGAATCGAAAAGTGTTTGATATTGAAATACATACATTGAACAGGTATTGTTTGAAGAACGATGCCAACGACACCGATAATAGCAGCATATCCGATCTTGAGGTAGATGAGGTAGCAAACCAGAATGGCCTGTAGCGGCAGCAGCCAAATGAAATGGGAGAAGATGAACGCATAGTCGAAGCGGTTCACGTCATTCGAGAGCAAGTTCACCACCTGACCGGCTGTCGTTTGTGCTAACGCACCGGAACTCATGCGCATAACCTGAAATAATATGTTATATTTTATATCAGACAGAGTTACAATTCCAATAAGTCCAATAGACCACGTAACTTGGTTATATCCAACCTAACCAGCCTTAAATAATATTACATTTTCTTTTTACTTTTCTATCATAAGCTAACTGAAATCTTCCAGCAATATATTCGTACATATATTGGCCACTTAGTAATATAAGTTGCTGTAGTACGCATATTTGTGTATTGGTTATTGTCTGACAACAATGATATTTGTAATGTATGTACCTTTCTCACGTGTAAAACTCGCCAAATTTACCTTTCTATAGATTAGTGAGCAAGCAGCAATGCGCACTTTCATGCCGAACTGCTGAGTAGAGTAGGTGCCGTGGTGGTTCAAGAAGGCGATGAAGACGGACATGAGAATCACGGCCGTTGCACAGTATACTGCTTGTTCGTACGACATATCCGAGCCTGGCTCCCAGTATGCCAGCATCATGCTCAATGCCACTGGTTGGAACGGCCTGTATCATGAGCACGTTTGAATTAAAAAATAATGTTTTGTAATATGAACCTGTATCAATCTTAACTGCTTAAAAGTGCCTACAGATTACCTCGACATTGTCGATCGTTAATGTCAATCGACAATATCAATCAACAATGTCGATCGGGTGCCTACAGATTTGCTCGACGTTATCGATCGTTACTGTCGATCTGTACGACTGTACTGTACATTATACATTATATATATTTGCACTTACATATGTTTACTTTTTTTTGACATTACTACTAACATGACTATCCTAGGGGTTGGGTGCCTGGAGACCCATATTACAAGCTCTGCTTAGTTTGGGCTCCAGTCTCCCACAATACATTACTCTAAGCTTAAGTAATAATGTATATTTACTGTAATTGTAACGTTTCTTTGTGTTGTGTTGTGGAGATAAATAAAGATATTTTTTATTATTATTATTATTTATTACTTTACAAGTAAACACGCGGCAAAATTTCTGTCTTAAAATACATGTCAATCGACAGTATCGAGTAAATCTGTAGGCAACTTATAGGTGTTTTTGTAAGGCGTTGCAAAATTTATATATACATGAACTATACAGGTGTGTATTATATTCTCATGCAAAGGCTACAGTCTAAAAATCGGGAGTGAGTTCAGTTTTGACGTTACTACTCGTGCTGATTATACCTACCAGAAGAGTCGTTGATGACTACATGATTACGAAATAACGGAAAAGTTCCAAGTGAAACGTTGAAATTGCAGCGGCTTTTAGCTGTAAGTACTTACGCACACACAATTCAAATGGGAATATGACCGTTGCGTGCCGAAGTCAATGAGTTTTATGACTGAGATGATTAGAAATTAGGGAATCTGCTCACTTGAGTAACAGGGCTTGTATGAAGAACATGAACCCGGAAGGTGCGAAACTCATCCAGAACGTTTTAACCATGGCACGCAGGAGCGACGGTTTTCGGCCATTCTTGTTTGCCAACGCAATTTCCTCCAGCCATTTCCTGTAAACAACCGAACAATTAGTTAAGTATGACGAGAATAAAGGAAGTTTTCGTTTATTAAAAGTTTGTTTTACGTCCACTCAGACGCTGTTTCGAATAATTCTAATGGTTTACGAAAATAACACCATGTAACACGATTATTGTCCTAACATTTGGAAACAGGAATAAACGCGTTTACATATGAATAGGTATTTTTCACACCTACCTAGTTTCTCGACATTTATTGTCTCTGGATTTTCAATATCATTTTCTAATTGGTTATAATATAAGAACAGGAAAACCCAATACATTTCCTTTATTAATTTTTATTGATTTTTGGATTTCTTTAATTTAAAAACAAAAAGGGAACATTATACTTGAAATAAATACTATATTTCAACCAAAGTGCTACAAATTGATGACAAAGAACTTAGAAATCTGTAGATTTACGAGATTATGTAAAAATATGAATTACTATGTGGCTGTGTAAATAGGCAGCTACACAATAAATATTGTATCTTTCACGGGAATAGCTACTCTTTGTAGAATACATGCTACTCAATTAAACGGGGAAACCAATACTGTCAAACCAGAAACTGAACCTTTTCGAAAATTTGTTACATAGTGTAATCTTTTTTTTCCATCCTCTAAAGTGTAATCAAATGATACGACCATAGAGTATATAACCAGAAATAGAGACGAAATAAGGGCCATCCATCCCTGGCAACTCAACAGGTAATTAAATGAGCTTGATATCACTTTTAAATATCAACTCTCGTTTGCGCTGAAATCACAAATTAGAAAATTGAAATAGTACCTACAGCGCCAACAACTGACTTGTGTGTACGTCTCCGTACATTCCAAAAATATTCTATATTTATTGTAATAAAGATAATACCTATTTCTAACAATGGGGGCTGTTCCATTCGGTGGTGTGGAAAAAACAGCAAAACATTTAATTACAAAACAAATGGAATCACATTTCATCGGTAATTATATATTAAATATGTAATTTTTGCAATTTTCGTTCATTATAGCAAAGCTTAAGTTAAGAAATAAAGTTAAGAAAATTGACGGCACCCGTCAATTGTTTCGAATTCGTGCTGGCCAATCGGAACGCAGTTGTCACAGTAATGATTTGGCAGACTAGTTTTCAAACAAATTAAATGATCGATGAAATGATGATCGGATATTCTTTCACATACAATTAAAGTTTTTTTTTTAAACGGAATACTAGCCTTGTCTGAATGGCTAATACGACGGGTTTGCTGTTGTGCTTAGAAACAGAGTTGCTTCTCTTAGACAAAGAGTGCTAGCTTTATAGCTAGTATAGCTGGCAGTTGCAACTCGTTTATTCTGCGACGTTGGACCTTGGTTATTAATTAATACTATATATACATTTTTGTATATAGTAGCAAGAGCTAATAAATTTAGAATGAGTCTGACAGGTTCCATTGAAGAAAATACTTTTATTTATTTAGACAGATAAGGCTTAACATAATATATAAATAATAAGGCAGACACTCATAGCACTGCACTAGGGAAACGCGGGTGCCATGGACACACATATAGACAACCACAAATTACACCCAAACTCAAGAGAAATAAATGTAGGCCATATAAATATTTCTCCCGGCCTGGCAATCAAATCCAGGACCTCGGCGTGGCAGTCCAGCATGGTAACCGTTGGGTCACGGAGGCAGTATAAAATACAATAAAGGGTTAAATACTAGAAACAAAAACTAGGATTGAATTATATGAATAAAATAGGACCCCTCGCGGCAAGGTGCCCAAGATGCTGGCAGCATTCGCCATTTGTATAGTTATGCTAACACATTGGGCAAGGTAGCTGCCTGCTCGAATTCGTGCTGGATAATATTATTTAATTCTAATTCTAAATTTTGTCTTTCTATGGATTTGTTATGTTTGAAATAAGTATTTATTATTATTAGTATTAAAAGTGTTAAGTTAGAACGAAATCTTTTAAATACAATAGAGAATAGAAGGAGGGAATGTTTAGATATCTGTTACGTAATGACGAATTCGTGAAAATAATATTTGAAGAGAAGATAGAAGGGAAAAGAAAGAGAGGAAGACCAAGAATGGCGTATAGTGATGTAATAAAGAAGAAAATCAAAGTGAGCAACTAACTATAAGGAGATTAAGGAGCTGGCTAAGAACCATGAGGAGTGGAGGAGACTACGCCGTCTAGAGTCTGCCTCTTAGGATAGGATGATTATATTACTATTAATTGCGTGTCCTTTTATTTTATCATTCCTTTACGTTTTTAGTAAGTAGCTACGTGAGGCGCACAATAAGTTTTCGGAATGAATAAGAAAAAAATACTATAAATGGTCAGAAAGGAATTTATTGTTTCTCAAAATATTCACCGTTAGCGTTAATGCACTTTTTCATACGAATGAACCAATTTTGAAAACATTTATGCCACTCCTCCGTGACAATCTCTGAAACATATTTTTCATACTCTTGGACAGCCTCTTCAGGAGATGAAAATCGTTGACCGCGTAACTGGTCCTTTATTTTTGGAAATAAATAAAAGTCACAACGTGTTAGGTCGGGAACAGTCCCGCGTACAGACGCGGGATGGCTCATATGGTTAACGTTGTTCACTTTCAAAAATTCATTTTTCTGTTTGGCCGTGTGAGAACTGGCATTATCGTGGTGCAAGATGATACGGCGGTTATTTTTACAGAGTTTGTCAATAACTTCCGGCAAACAAATGGTGTACCAATTCACGGTACAACGATTCTCCAAACCAACAGTAGTCACGTGTCCAGTTTTATTAAAAAAAGAAGCAATCATCCGCTTAGAGGCACTTTGCACGCGCGTCACTTTTGTTGGTTTCGGCTCATCTCGAAAAACCCATACGCTCGATTGCTGCTACTATGTTGCTTACTATGTCCTTCACCAAATTTGACGCCCCTTTGTTGAATCTGGTAAGCATGGCATTGCACCAAGGGACGCAATCCGTTTTTTGAGCCTCAGTCAAATTGTGTAGGATCCACCGAGAGCACAACTTTTTTACACCGAAATGTTTGTGTAGTATTGATTGTATTTGAGTTATGCCTATGCCTAAAGATGCCCGAGTCTCGTGGTATGTCGCATGCCTGTCTGTTTTGATCGTACGGTGCACAGCATCGATGTCACGCATCATGTTCACAGCAGTGGAGGGGCGACCATCACGAAATTCGTCACAGAGATACACACGACCGCGTTTGCTGAGCCGTTAAATTACACTTAAAGTCGTAGGAAATTATACAACGAAAATTTTAACGAGTTAAATCCATGGTGATGTAGACAACCAATTTCTAAAATGTCACCACATTGTCAAAACAATGCAAAGACAGTCAGATGAAACAAACTGTATTCTACAGACAAAGAGTTCCATTTTCGAATGTTTTAATTATTTTTTAAATATTGCTTATGTAAGTGGCCAGTTCCGGAAACTTAGACACCGCCGTATGCAGTTTCTAATTAAATATATAATTAAGAAAGCACCTCACTCACCGTAATTGTACACTATTATATATAAACTATAGAAATTCCAGTTACAATTTTTATACCAAATTATAACCATACTCGCACCTATCATGCAACAAAAAGTGTAAAAACCATTTTACTACATATTATGTATATAGAATAGAATAGACAAAGAATGAAATTTAATTGAATATTATTAATTATAATTATATATTTAAATTTTTATTGAATTGATATTCAATTATTTTTCCGGTTGGATTCGAACCGACGTCTTCTAGCATACCGTGCCAGACGCTATACCAACTAAGCCACGGAACGAACCAGCGGACCTCACGAATTTGTCTGACACGGTATGTTAGAAGACGTCGGTTCAAATCCGGTCGAATCGAAGGATTTTTTTCTGAGTGTTCGTGTTCTTTGTATTAATAATTATAATTTTATTTATTACATTAACCTAGCAGAACCTACTTTACCTTCAACCAACAGCACGAAGATTTGAATGCATGATGATTTACCTACCAAGAGATGTAGGTTTCGTGGGAATGTATCTACCTTATGTTAATGTAGAATGCGGATGACAAAAGAAATAAACAAATAATAAAAGACAAAAGCAGTTTATAACTCGTATTGTCCGCGTTTTGACATTTTAAACAGATTTTCCAGAGTGTCAAAGTGTCAGTGCCCTGTTTGGACCTTCAGGTGCAAGTACCATAAATTTACTAAATTGTCTACGTGTATTTCTTTACACATTGCGGTGCCAATGTAAATAAGTAAGTATATGTTTATAGACATATTGTTTGTTCAATGATATCATCATTTTGACTTTTAAATCGGGAATCCTACGACGCGATTGCTTCAAATTAAACTACACTCGTGTACCTGTTTCCTATTCTACTTGAATGCTAAGTTGTATTATTTGCATTTTAGAATTAACGGCATAATTGCTAGTCTATAGTAATCACTATCGCATTTGTGGTTATAGCGCCTTGACACTGTAGTGGCTTCGTAACAAATTTACTCGCGACTATTGTGTTCATGAAGACTATTAGAAACTTCATCCACTCACTAATGCGGCGTTTGCCTATCTCCTAATTCAATTCTCACTTACGTCATGATCTCAGTACTCCGTTTTGAATATATTGTTTACATTTTAAGATTATTATGTAGCCTAGCCTTAGCGAAAGGAAAGGCTCGATCTAAGTAATTTATTTTAAAAGAAAAAGGTTAGAACAAATTAGTATAAAACACTCCCTCTTAAGTACCTTCCGGACTAAACACTACTCATCCCTAAAGGGCCTACAACATCTTAAATATTTTGATTATGATTTAAGAGTAAATTACGTGAAGTTTAAAATTAAATGAAAGTGATGATTTATGGGCACGTTCTCGGTTTAAGAATTTTCATGGGAGTGACAACGGAACGAATCAATATAAGAATAGTGAAGAAAAGGAAATTCGAGAACGATTAAAAATTTTAAAAGTAAATGGCCTGGAAGTATTAAAGAGGCCGATAGAAAGGT